CGTATAAGTGTTATGCCCTATGTCCAATCGATTTAGGTTGTAAACACTTTTAATATGTTTACTGTATTTATTTCGGCAAGATCTATTATTTATTTGAATCACTATTCTAATAAATAATATTAAATAATAGAGTCCGTAGATTTAAGTTTTAGCGATTTATTAATCATAAAGAGTTATAATTGTGAGATACAAATTGCAAATGCTAAATTTTAAATCATCCATGGTCGTAGATAATAACGAGATACAGATATCTTTATTACGAATAGACTATCACGTGTAGCATTTCTTACTTGTGAAGTAGCTAATTTCACAAGTTAAAATGTGGTGATACTTAAATGAACATTTGGATGCTTTGTTATAGAATAAAACATTAGATACCTACTTAGGAGATTTCACATCGATAACTATTCAAGTGTCAGTGGTTAATCTCTAACGTTCGGTAGTAGGATTGGTCCTTTGACTTGATATCATCATAGTACCTTACATGAGGACAATTATACTTTGTTGATGTTGGATGTTGCTTTGTTAAGGGTTGCTAATACGGCATCGTTTGGTATGTCAAAAATCATATGAAGGTTGTAAATGATCAATAGAGGATTCGTCACTTTTAAATAGTAAAAGATTATGATTTACATTTTGTCAATTAAGTTGATAAAGAAATTATTGGCCAAGGTGTACTCAAAAGTTGAAAAAGAGTTTTCGACTTATATTAACTTAATAGTGGAATGAAAAATATGATCGATAATTGAGATTGACATGTATCCATACCTCGTGATTGATTGGATCATATAGAAGAAGGGATTATAATTTCATGATAAAAAAGTTTGGTTTTGTCATACCATGTGATATTTTCGTTACATGTATTATCTTGACATATTGTTAGATGACAATCTGGGACGACGCATATGAATTGGTGATAAATTAGAAATGGATATTTTAATTTATCGATTTTGATTGGATCAAAATAATAATTTAGATATCGTGATCGAAAATCTAATGGGTCACATACAAAAGTAGAACTGAAAGAATGAGATTTATCGATTAATTAATTAACAAGTATTGGACAATTAATTAATTGGGTTGTTTGTTAATATGCCCGAATTAATTAATTCATGGACCAAAGTTAATTAATTTGATCGATTAAATATTGGACCGGATTAATTTTAATAGACAATCGAAGACCACTTAGATGTGTATTAATAGGCTGCTAGGGTTTAAAAAATCAGTAGATAACATAATTATTCTTACTAGTACAAGAAAAGAAAATCATAGTTCTCTTAATCTTGTCTCCTGTGTGAATTTTTATTGAAGGCTTGACAATTTGATAACTGTGAATTGTTAGATCGTGATTATTCATGTTCAAAATAAGTAAAGGAGTTTGCAGAATTCAAGAAATATACATCTTTTATCACAGTTTCTATTTAAACACAAAGCAAATCCGTGGCAGGAATTGAAAATTATTTCATTTTTCGTTGTGCACGATTAATTCAATTCCCAACATACCGTATATATGGTGGTAGGAAACCACTCTTTCATGAAAACCTTCAAGCAGTGGAAGGTTGAGCTGCTAGAGATGGTGGTAAGATACCACCACGTTTGGGAAACCTTTCAGGCAATGGAAAGATGCGCTAGTTGGAATGTTGAAGAGTCCCCTTATATGCGCATGGAGGCGATTTTGGTGTTGTGTGAGTGCTAGGTTTCACTAGTGTTGGAGTCGGGATTTGAATAAAGTGATTGATATTTTACCCATGTCGAGTTGGGCATTAGTCAAGTTGACTAATTGTGATGCCGAAGTTGACATTGAATCAAGTACTTGATTTATTGCTTCCGGTGGGCAAGCTACGTTTAATGCTGCGAGGAGTGGGTATTGTTTATGTCCCTATCTTAAGCATTGGACGCCACTGATGTGAGAAAGCCTTAACATCTAGCAAGGAATCGAGCAGAGCAGAAAGGGCTTGTTAGTCCGCAGCTTAGTCGTAATGTGCCAATGATATGAGATCCTTATCGACCAGACAAGACATGAATTTAGTCTATATGGTCCTAGAGAAGAACATTGTTAGAAAGTTCAAGGTGTGCATTTTGTCTAAATTGTGCTTCGATACAAAAGGCTTGAAATCAGATCTTTGTAAAAACAATGAGTTTGGACTAATGCACTCGATGCCTCTAAGTTATTTTACTTCAAAATTTAACTTATTAGAGATTGCAATTTTATTTATTTAAATTTAATTTTTAACACACCTCTTTATATACAAGTCAGATTTAACTTTTCGTCTTCAATTTATGCTTACAATTACAAATGACAAGGAGACTAAAATTTAAAATTTTGATAGGATTAAACTACCTCATTTAAGAACAAAAACTTGTAAAGATTTAATTACTCATGCATATACATATATCGAAGTATAAAACTTGATTATTTCGTTTCTACTCTGGAAATTAATTTGATGTGATATTTTCAACGTAGTGAAGAAATAAAAGTGAAATCGCCTATTATTTTATATTATCCTATGTTCAAATTTTCAATAAATGGGTATTATGGTGAACCGACCCTCTCTTGCATCTTTTGACAAGTCTCCTTGGTGTACCTCATAAATAGTTTGCAATTTCAATATATCAGACATTTTTGTACGAAATCATGTGATCTCCATCTACTGTCATGTATATTTTTATCTTTATTAATTTAAATATTTAATGAGGATATGTAGTTCGTGTGAAGAAATAAATTGTGCTATGTTTAATTATTGTAATATGCAAGTAATTTCAGAAATTTAATAACAATTACTTGTGTCTAATATAATTCCTCATAATAATTGTCATCCCTTTATGTGTGCAGAATAAGCAATTGAATAATATGAAATAAGTTATGAAATTGCTTACAAAAGTATGATGACATGGAGCGAAATAAGGAATTCAAGTGAAAACCTTAAGAACACGAATTTTGAAATTCATCGAATTATGAAAAGAATAACTCACGAATTTTGTTAATGAAAAGATTCTTAAAAACAATGAATTAACCTTTATTTGAAAGGGTTTACATGAAAACCTACTTTAAACAAGCTAAAATTGAAAAGAAATCAAAATAAATTAAATGACAAAAATAGCACTAAAACTTAAAAGCACTTTTCGAGTCCTAAACAAACTCGAATGACCAAAATCCATCGTATACCACCGCTTTGCTGTGGGTTCTACATGTCTCATCATTCTCTTTCTGAAATGATATTATGGACCTAAATTGGAGTTCGAATACTTTCTCTGCACTATTGCCTTTTTCCTATTTCGATCAAATTCTTCTTCAATCGATTCGATATCATATAATTTCAACACTTATTGTTCGAGTAGGTTTAACATCATTTGACCTTTGCATTCCACTAGAAAAGACATTCTTGGATAACCTTTCCCCAGCATACTGAAATTTTACAAACAATTAATATATAAAAAATGTTAGCTGCCAACCACTGAATTTATTATTATTATTAGTCAGTAACAGACAAATCTGTGAAGATGTCAATGCAATAATCTTTTCTTAATGTGTTTTTGTATGAAGAAATTAAATCATCCATTTTGTCCAAAACCTTAGAGCAAAACAATCTCAATTACACAGAATCAACTAAGACATCATATGCTCAGGTCAACATTTTTGGACTGTTTCCTCAAGGAATCTATCAATGGCTTGTTTGTTTCCATTTCTTATCTTCAAGTGGGATTAATTATAAATTTCCGGTCAAGCTTGTTCACACTTTTATATGTATAATTCCTTAACAAAAGGGTCATCAATGATGGCTCAATTAAATTGATTAGAGTCATTAGACTATAAGTCAAAGACTTAATTGAGTTTTTGATTAAAGACAAAATGTTGTGTGGCGTGTAAATCGAAAGTCTAATCTCTATTTTTTATGTGCCAATGATAAATTATAATAAGATGTCTCCCAATTTCATACTATCAGCGCTATTTATTTTAGGGGAATTATCAAAAATGTCACTTTTTTTTAATAATGAACAAAAAATTTGCATGTGGACCTAATTTTATCAAAAAATGTCACTTTTTTTTGTAAAAAATGTCCAACTTACCTTCCACGTCTCTCTTTTTAGGGGCATTTAATGCTAACTTTCCAATCCAATTAATGTTATGATTTGATTAGTTAACACTTATTTTTTATTTTAAAAGATCAATCTATTTTTTATTTTAAATTTTAAAAATTTATTTTTGATTTTAAAAGATTATAAATTTTGGGCCGAAGTAAGAAAAAAAAAGAGAGGGTAAAGGCAGTTTAGGCGACGGCAACGACGAGGAGAGGCAGCAGCACTCACAGGACAGCGGCGAGGAGTGCGGCAGCGAGCGCTGCATCTGCCATAGAGGCAGCAATGCTTACAGTCGCCGTCCAGAGCAGCGACGCTGAATTGCAACGGCGAGCGCCGCTCTATATTACAGCAGCACGGCGGCGGCCTCCGCCACACTGTAAAAGAAAAAAAATGTTTTCCAAGTTTTCAGCAGCAGATTTGGATGATTGGAGACGAGGGCCTGTTGTGCAAATTCATAATTTGCAGACCCTTGCTTGAAAATTAATATATAAGATATTCAAATAATTCAGAGGGTTTTTTGATAAAAAAATTTAAAAGGTGACATTTTTGATAATGCAAAGCCAAATTTTAACACCCAATGAAATTTCCTCTTTATTTTTATCTTGCAAAGATTCAACCTTCGTAAAGAGCTCAATCTCACGTAACCAAACTAAACTCATGTTGAGAAATTATTAAGTTGAGCATAACTATGGGATCTACCTTACCAAACAAACATAAGTGAAGAAATTTTAAGCCGTCGTCACACGACTTGTTTATTATTTTTTTGTACAATAAAAATCTATACCGATGGTTGGTATTGGGACAAGTTGCAATTTTCGACTCGTGGCCAGTCAAATCATTAACAATAGTGGTGTTAAAATATAGGAAGATTGTCAGAGAAGAGCGGGATTAAGATTACCGTCAAGACAATAAAGAAATAATTGGATGATAAAACTCCGTCATAACTATGAATAATTAAATCAGAAAGATTAAAAAAAAAAATACATATATTTATAAACAGTACTAGTCCCCAAAAAGAAATGCAAAAAGGAAACTTTGACCAAGTACAAATCAATAAGGTGTTTTTACATAAAAATCCACAAATCCTTCTAATTGCGTGAATCTTCACGTACCGATGAACAGGACTTTACTCTTGAATTTCTTCTGATTCAGTCAGAATCATTTATCAATTATGATGATCAGTAGTACAAGACTTGTTCTTCTGTCTTGATCTCATCCACAAAATAATTGAGATTATTGCAGATGTTATTAGTGCTAATCAGCTGCTTAATCTCCTCAATGCTGTAATCTAATGGATTTTCAGTAAAACACCCATTTGTTACCTTGTTTTGATCATCAGCATATCCATTAGCAGGAAGAGTAAACTTCTGATTTTCATCGACCCCACTTCCAAAATAGTTTAGTAAACCTAAATCTTCATCAATCCCACTTCCATCAGAGGAACTGCAACTCGCTTCATTTCCAAAGATGAGAAGATTATTGTAATTATCTTTGACTTGATAATTTTGCGCGGGCCCCGCCCCGAGTCCTTCTTGTGGTTGGAACGCTGTAAGAGTACTAGAATTTGAAGAACAAGTGGTAAAACTGTTGGTGTTTTCCAAGATATTTGATGGGATATTGGACATGAATTCAAAGCCTCCAGTAAAAACCCTAGCTGGAGGAGTGGTATAATAGTTGTTGTTTGTAGAGTGATATGCTGATGAATTTTGGAGAAATGAATTAGCTGTCGTTGGGCAGATTGCACCATGATAAGACCTTTTATGATGAGCAAATGGAGCCATTTCCATGAGTTTCTTCTTGAGCTTGGTGTTCCAGTAGTTTTTTATATCATTGTCAGTTCTGCCTGGTAAATGAGCTGCTATAATTGACCATCTGCATTTTGAATTTTGGATAATGATAATTAGTTTATTAACCTTAAGAAGTCATAATCAAATCTGAACTTTGAATCAGAGATCTAATATGGCAACGATATGAGAAGGTTAAGATGCATTCTCAGTAGAACAAGTTAGAAGATGGAGGGGTACTCCAAAACTATAACATCGTCTGTAACAATTTAGCTGTTTTAGATCTTTAGAGGAACCGAACGAGAGGTGAAAAAAGATGTATACATGTAGATTGTTCTAAGAGAGATCAACTGATGGATAAATCAACTGGATTAGAAGATCAGATTATAGGAAAAACAAAACAATTAGTGAGATAAGAAGGGATTATACCTGCTACCAATGCTGGTAAAGAGGGCGCAAATTATTCTATCTTCATCATCAGAGAATTCTCCATGCTTAATGTTTGGTCTCAGATAGTTGAGCCATCTCAGTCTGCAACTTTTTCCACATCTTTTGAGCCCTGAAAATGCAAAATCAATAGCACTAGATTAACAAAGCAGAGAGAAAACAAGGAATTTGAATTGTGAAAAAAAAAAAAAAAAAAAAAAGCCCATAAATATCTACCAGCTTTTTGTGGGAGAGCAATCCAATTTCCTCCAGTGCCATGACTCTCTATGTAGTTCTTTAGCTTTGCATCTTCTTCTGGTGACCACGGTCCCTTCTTCACATTAGCCTTGTCACAACATGGAGATCTTCCCATCTCTCTCTCTTCTGTGTCTCTCTCACTTCTCTCTCTAGCCCTCTTTTTCTGAAAGATTTTGAGGATTTCTTTGCGTATACAAGACTTGTTAATCTATTGGACAGCAAGGTTATATATATTTGTAAGACTCTTTGATTTCAATTATTTTCAGAAGAAGCTCTCACTCTTAGCTTTAATTACTAGGTCTTTTCTGCCTCCTAATTTCTCACAGAATCCAAAGACTAATTAATGGCATGCAATTCAGAGAGCCAAAGTCATAGCCCCATTGTCAAATTTAGATGCTAAAAAATAGTCCCATAGATAGGTATTACTTGATTATATTATTTGACACGTAATGCATGCAAAGATTTTAAATTAATTATGTTAATAAAAAATGGATCATTTACAATGTACAAGAAAGCGATGCAAATTAATTAGTCATATACTTTCTATAAAATGGTAAAATTGGATATTTTACTATACAAATCTTGACTTAGCCAATCATGTGGCAGAACTGTAGTTATTGTCCTTGTGTTTTAAGTCAAACAATCTCCTGTAGACGAGGACATGAGTAATTTCAACTCAAAATAGTCATTGTGAATTAAGAGTAGGCTTTTGTGAGTGTTGAACTCAAGATCTTGATAGAGGTCAAAGGAAACCGAACTAGATATGTTGGAGCTTAAGTAAATTAGTACGTCTAGCGTTGTAGACATCCAAATTAGAGGTGGAAGATTGAATTGAATTTGATCGAGATCCCGACATACATAGCACATATTTGCTTTACACAAATTTCAACTAATGCAAATATATGTAGTATGATGAGACCAAGAATCACGAGGTGCATTAACTATATATGCTATATATACTAAAAATTATGTCACAATACAAATTTCAAAAGCATTTCATTTTCTGATAATGTCGAATCAGCCACCACGATGTCCTCACTTGCTGGTCAAGCACATTAATCATTTAGTTTACGGATACTTGTAGGGATGTCAATTGGGCCGAACCGGCTTGGCTCGTGGGCTGCTCTTGACGAGCCCGAGCCGAGCGGGGGTCCCGTCCAACGAGCCGGCTCGTCTAAAAATGTGGAAAAAAAATAAAATTTTATCAATAAAATTTGAAAAATTTGCAAAAAAATAAAAAAATAGAAAATTTAAAAGGTGACATTTTTGATAATGCAAAGCCAAATTTTAACACCCAATGAAATTTCCTCTTTATTTTTATCTTGCAAAGATTCAACCTTCGTAAAGAGCTCAATCTCACGTAACCAAACTAAACTCATGTTGAGAAATTATTAAGTTGAGCATAACTATGGGATCTACCTTACCAAACAAACATAAGTGAAGAAATTTTAAGCCGTCGTCACACGACTTGTTTATTATTTTTTTGTACAATAAAAATCTATACCGATGGTTGGTATTGGGACAAGTTGCAATTTTCGACTCGTGGCCAGTCAAATCATTAACAATAGTGGTGTTAAAATATAGGAAGATTGTCAGAGAAGAGCGGGATTAAGATTAAGTCGCTCGTGGGCTCGGCCCGACCCGGCCCACGAGCTCGTGGCTCGTGAGTACACGAGCTCGTGGGCCGAGTCGAGCTCGCCCACGAGCAACGAGCCGAGCCTGAACCGAGCTCATGGGTAGATACTCGACAATTTTCAAATTCTCAGCATTAACTATAGATATATATAATGTATCTAGGCCCCTATTTGAGCCTCATCCTTTAAAACTCATTTGTTTTGTCAAATTAAACATTTTCTCATTAAAATAACTTTGCATGTAAATTCAAAATTTTTCGTATTTTTAACGGAAGGTCTGAAAAAAAAAACTAATAATTCAATTTTTACTAAATTTATTCTTAGAAAAGGGACTCAAACATGGACCCTGTCTTAAACATGTGTTGCACACACAAGATGTGAACAGCATGAGTTAGACATGCAATTATTGTAATTGAAAAAGAAATACAAAATCTTAGTAAAAGACAAATATGGATATTGTTAACTACATAAGAAACAACCCGTGTCTGAATATTTTACGTTAAAAATAATACTACTTAGAAAAGTCACTAATGTTTATTAGTTGATATGCAAATGATTTCATAAATAATTACCTTTTGTTACCCATTAAAATTTTATTGAAATAACGTCCACTTTTTATCAACTTTTATTGATATAATTACTCATAATATTTATATAAAATAAATATTTTTGATAAAAAATTTAATAAGTTCACAATTTTTATAAATGAATGATGATTATTTTAAGTATGCACCAGTTTTTTTTCGAAATAAAGTAATTACAGAGTTAAGTTAAACCAAATAATCGAGTAATTATCCATATTTTTCATTTAGTCTCAAATAAATTACAAATAAACGTCATTTTGCTTCAAAAACTAAACAATGTAAAAGCGCACTGATAGAAATTTCCTAGTTTTTTTCCCCACTCGTTCTTTCAAGTGTTTATAAATAAATGTTTTGAATCTTTCCTTCGGAGTGCCCAAATGGTCATTGAACTTTGTAAAAAGTTTTCAAGAGGTCAGTAAACTTTAAAAATCACCTAAATGGTCACTGAACTTTGAAAAAGATTTCCACGAAATCATTGAATTCAGTGATCCCTGAGAAGCCTTTTACAAAGTTCAGTAACCATTTAGGTGATTTTTAAAGTTCAATGACCCCGTAGAAACTTTTGCAAAGTTCAGTGATCATTTAGGTGATTTTAAAAGTTCAGTGACCCTTTAGAAACTTTTTGCAAAGTTCAGTGACCATTTGGACAATTCACTCCTTTCCTTTATATAATTTTTAATACTCCTATGCTTCCAACTTCAACTTTTCAGTAACTTTGAATAATTAAAAATATATTTTGAAAGATAGTTGTGGTGAAGAAAATATTTAAATAATATACATTTAATCATCGAATCATTTAATAAGTGCTTCAAATGAGCCTTTGAACTTATATATATTTGTAAGACTCTTTGATTTCAATTATTTTCAGAAGAAGCTCTCACTCTTAGCTTTAATTACTAGGTCTTTTCTGCCTCCTAATTTCTCACAGAATCCAAAGACTAATTAATGGCATGCAATTCAGAGAGCCAAAGTCATAGCCCCATTGTCAAATTCAGATGCTTAAAATAGTCCCGTAGATAGGTATTACTTGATTATATTATTTGACACGTAATGCATGCAAAGATTTTAAATTAATTATGTTAATAAAAAAATGGATAATTTACAATGTACAAGAAAGCGATGCAAATTAATTAGTCATATACTTTCTATAAAATGGTAAAATTGGATATTTTACTATACAAATCTTGACTTAGCCAATCATGTGGCAGAACTGTAGTTATTGTCCTTGTGTTTTAAGTCAAATAATCTCCTGTAGACGAGGACATGAGTAATTTCAACTCAAAATAGTCATTGTGAATTAAGAGTAGGCTTTTGTGAGCGTTGAACTCAAGATCTTGATAGAGGTCAAAGGAAACCGAACTAGATATATTGGAGCTTAAGTAAATTAGTACGTCTAGCGTTGTAGACATCCAAATTAGAGGTGGAAGATTGAATTGAATTTGATCTAGATGCCCGACATACATATCACATATTTGCTTTACACAAATTTCAACTACTAATACAAATATATGTGGTATGATGAGACCAAGAATCACGAGGTGCATTATCTATATATGCTATATATACTAAAAATTATGTCACAATACAATTTTCAAAAGCATTTCATTTTCTGATAATGTCGAATCAGCCACCACGATGTCCTCACTTGATGGTCAAGCATATTAATCATTTATTTTACGGATACTCGGCAATTTTCAAATTCTCAGCATTAACTATAGATACATATGACGTATCTAAGCCCCTATTTGAGCCTCATCCTTTGAAACTCATTTGTTTTGTCAAATTAAACATTTTCTCATTATAATAATTTTGCACGTAAATTCAAAATTTTTCGTATTTTTAACCGCATGTCTGAAGGAAAAAAAAAACTAATAATTCAATTTTTACTAAATTTATTGTTAGAAAAGGGACTCAAACATGGACCCTGTCTTAAACATGTGTTGCACACACAAGATGTGAACAGCTTGAGTTAGAACAGCTTGAGTTAGAACAGCTTGAGTTAGACATGCAATTATTGTAATTGAAAAAGAAATACAAAATCTTAGTAAAAGACAAATATGGATATTGTTAACTACATAAGAAACAACCCGTGTCTGAATATTTTACGTTAAAAATAATACTACTTAGAAAAGTCAATAATGTTTATTAGGGCCCGTTTGGTAGGGATTTTGAGAATTGATTTTTTGACCGTCAAAAGAAAAATTGGATCCACATGTGAGAGAAGAAGTCAAAAACTACGGCTTGAATAATAAAATAACGGTCAAAAAATCATTTACTCTCAAATAAATTACAAATAAAGGTCATTTTGCTTCAAAAACTAAACAATGTAAAGGCGCACTGATAGAAATTTCCTAGTTTTTTTCCCCACTCGTTATTTCAAGTGTTTATAAATAAATGTTTTGAATCTTTCCTTCAGAGTGTCCAAATGGTCGTTGAACTTTGTAAAGGGTTTTCAAGAGGTCATTGGACTTTAAAAATTACCTAAATAGTCACTGAACTTTGTAAAACATTTCTACTGGATCACTGAACTTTAAAAATCACCTAAATGATCACTGAATTTTGTAAAAAGTTTTCACGAGATCACTAAATTTTGCAAAAGGTTTCCACGAGGTCATTGAATTCGGTGATCCCCGGAAGTCTTTTGCAAAGTTCAGTTACTATTTAGGTGATTTTTCAAGTTCAATGACCCCGTAGAAACTTTTGCAAAGTTCAGTGATCATTTAGATGATTTTAAAAGTTCATTAACCCTTAGAAACTTTTTGCAAAGTTCAGTGACC